CCTGACGACACACAAACCGCGGGCACAGTGAGGGGAGGGGAGTTGGGTTGAGGAGAGGAGAAGGGCGAACTGAATGAGTGTGGTGTGTGTGTGTGTGTGTGTGGAAGTATGGGGTATAGATGGATGGGTGTAGGTAAGGTAGGTATGGGTGGTGTGTGTGAGTGAGTGAGTGAGTGAGTGAGTGGTGTGTGTATGTGCGTACCTATGGATGGATGTATGGTAGGCGGAGCTGGACAAGGTATCCGTAGCTCGCTAATAAGACGATGCGAGGTCAAGAGGTCGTCGTCTCAATGGGAGTAAAGAAGAGACGAGAGGGGGCCCGATCTGAAGAGGTGTTCCAATAAGGTACCTACCACACAAGTAAGGGCAGGGTACCTAAGGCAATGATGGGATAGGGCGTAGTGGGAAAAGAGGCCTGGTTTGGGTCAGTTCCAGCAAGGCCAAGCAGGTCATGCATTGGAATATGGAGGTAAGTTACCTCGAGGTGAGGTAAAGTAAAAAGTGTGGTAGCAACGGGAGTGCTCCGTAATAATGCAGATGCAGTGTGCGCAGACTTGCAGAGAGAAAGAGACAGAGAGAGCACGCTCAAGGAGAGATGCAATGCAGTCGATATCCAGCTCCAACTCCAGCTTCCCCAGGCCAGGCCAGACCAGCCAGGTCCAGTCCAGTCCACCCAAGTCTCGGGCTCCCGTCTTCTCTTGGTCCAGTTGAGTTTGGGTTGAGTTGGTGTGTGCCTGTCTGTGTGCGCTGCAAGCCACACGAGCGGCATGCACTGTATGAACAGCACTAACCCCAGGCCAAGGGTACGCACGGAAGAACAAGCTAAGCCCTGGTTGGTTTTGGTCTCGGGGGGGCAGATGCCTGTCCCAGCCCACCTCAGTGCTCCTAGACCCGAAAGAGCACGGGCAGGTAGCACGGAACCTGGAGGTAAGGTATGCGCTGGAGGCCCTGTACCTGTCGAGGTCAACGGATTGTCAGGGACGGGAGTGTGCGCGCTGGTTGTGGATCAAGTCGACTAATATCGGTGGAGGGGACAAGTGGGCAGGTCCCAGTTGATCATCGTACGGGAGAGTGGGAACGCTTCGGGACGATGGAAGCACAACGGTGATGCTGAGATGGGGAGAAAAACCAAGACAACCTAAGAAAAAGGAAAAAGGGGGCCTCGGACGAGGTGAGGGGAAAACCATACCCTGCCGACTGCCTTGTGGTGAAGGTAAAGAGTAGGGTAGGTATCTGTCTCTGTATTCGGACTTGTTTTCCCTCACTTCTACTCCGTGCCCCTCTCAAACTTCTGGTAAGGCCGAGGAGCATCCAAGGGAATGCCCGGATAGCAATGGTACCTTGGACCTCCAGCGTAGCAGCAAGGTGGTAGCCGGAAGGCTGCATCCAAGTTGCCTTGCAAGTCGTTGACTTGATGAAGCACAACAATGTTGAACAAGATATTGTTATGCAAAGACTGCCTTGAACATTCCAATGCACAGAACGCATCAAATATTGGCGATATTTGATGGCATCCTTCATGGCGAAGTGAAAGAAAAGTGCACCCATTTTCCGATCCACAGAATCGACCACTTGGTCGCCTCGCATGTATAGTGGGGTGTAGCAAAAGCTGGGACTAGGAATGAAGAGCATCCAGACCGCCACTGGAGAAAGAGAGAAGTAACAATAAGAAGAGAATCAACGCGTTGACTGTGAACAGCACTTGCTGAAGTCTGCGGGATATCGTAGAGGGGACAAGGTCCTCCTGTTGGTCTGGCAAGACCTCTTTGCATTGAGGTTGCCCCAAGAAAGTAGTGATGTACACCTTGCACTGCTTGCTTGTTGAAGCAGGTAAAGGGGGAAGAAGGTACCCAATCACCTGCGAGATGTGTAAGAATCATGGAACGGCAGCTAGAACAAGGAGACACACTCTTTGCGTTTTTCTTTTCTTTCTGTGGCAGCTGGAGGGCTCCCCCCTTCCCGTCAAAGAGTTTTGAGTGGCCCAGGTGCAATTCAAGAGGGTGTGCAGCGGAAAGCGAGACGACGGTGTGGTAGGGCCCAAGAGAACAGCCTCGACACCCTTTGCAAGCCAAGGTACCTGCTTAGGTGGATAAATTTGCAGGGTGGCAGCAAGCGGGAGCCAGAATAGCCCAGACGACGAGGGCAGAAAAAGTGGAAAGATGGAAGGAAGTTATTCAAGAACTGCTGCTAGAGAAATCCGGTTGCCAAGGTGAGGTATGGGTGTGGTGTTGTACTTCTCCATTGGTATTTCCGTACAGAGAACGGGTATGCAGGTACTTGGTGCAAGAGAATGGGGTTCCGCGAGTAGCAGGCCGAAAGTGGAAAAGACGTATAAGGGATGGCAGCTCTGGCAATGCAATAGTAGCTCGAGAGAAAGAAGAGGTGTAGCCGTTGTAAAGTCCGCCTGCCACTATATCTCATATGTGCGGGTGGTGTGCCAAGTTGAAATTTTACTATCTTCGTATCCAAGTAAGGTAATAGGTGAAATGCTGGAAGGAAGATATCTCAGTCTCAAAATCCCCCAAACGCAATGTCGTCGAGCATGCAGGGCAGGACAAACAGGCTGGACGGAGGTGCCTGCCATGCCTGTCTCTCTGGCGGCACAGTGTGACCAAAGTGCCCGTCTCAAGCGGTGGATCCGAGCTAACCGTCCTTGGTCATTCGCAGGTACGTACTGCCTGGCATCTTCCCGATTCCCCACACTATTCTCCAGGCAAATCCCCACCTTTTGCTCGATTCTACTGCCAATCAAAATTCAGTAAACACAGGGATGGGCGGACTAGCAAGGCCAGGCCGGGCCTGTCAGGGCTCAGGGGTTGTGGCTAGTGGGGCCGCCCGTCTGCAAGTGACCAACCAGATCATGTTCTCCACGTCTTTGCTTCTTTGTTCACCCAACAGCAACTAGAGCAGGAGCTGCCCCTTCAGATCGTGGGTTTCGGGGGCCAAGAGGGAAGGAAGCGGGGAAACAGAGCCTACCGGACTGGACTCTGGTTTCCATTATGACAGACAGATGGAATCGAAATTGGAAACAAGCCATCAAAGGTGCCTGGTGATAGGTCTTCGTTCCTACCTACTAACAGCATGCACACTACCTACGAAGTACATGGGAGCCTCTCGCGACGTCTTGGCTCCTCCCCGTCCATCCGAATCCATGGTGGCACCTCGACGGGAACATCTTGTTTCCACCTCAGCGCTTCCTCTCTCATTTGCTATCTTTCTCGCTAGTTCATGACTGGACCTCTGTTCGTACATCGATGCTACCTCGGTCTGCATAATTACATACTCATCAAATCCTCACTACTTCGTCGTGCTCCGGCCGAGACTTCGGTATACAGTGGACTCGGGCGACAAGTCGCGGCAGACGCAGCACCGGCATACAACAATACCGTATCCATATTGATACCTCGCTACTCCGTTCTTAATCAAGACCAGCCTCGACGACGACTAAGAAGCTTCCCGAATAAAGCGGGTTGCACTGCCATCTCCTACGGTCAATCCTTCATCCGCGTCTGCAGAAAATGATGGCACTTGCGCATAAGATTCTTTCGAGTCCTACAACTACAAATCACCTCAATCACCACCACCCCGCTCATGACATGCCATGCCTGCAGAGAAGCGTTGTGTGATACGTCTGCATAGTACGCCCATGTACCCCAGTCGACGGCGGCACACGCATATACTTCATATATTCGCCAGCGCGACGTACTTCCTACATTACATTGAAGGTTTTGTCTCTATATATTCCGGCGCTACCGTCATGTTTGCACATCCGATGTTCCCTTCGGCCCACCATTCTTCCGTGGCCCTGGGGGGGGGGGGGATCTGAGGGCTAAGAACAACTTCTAAAGATGCGACTATCATTCAGCGAAACTATACTATAGAAACAACTAGGAAAACCAGCGTGAGCGAGGAACGAGCTTTTCCGGATCGCCGACATGGATACTACCTGCGGTCAGAGTGGTCCCCGACGATGCCGTTAACACTGCAGCTTTCTTCTTGCATGCTTTCCCTCAGCCTCCGGGCATGAAGTGGCCATCTGACCTCTATGCGGCTGTAACAGGCTGAGCCCATTCGCCCATCGCCGATCCTCCAACCTTTAGCGGCTTTTCGCCCCTTGATCAACAAATGGCCAAGTCCAACTTCGGTCAGCGGTGGCATAGCGCTGCAATCAGGAGGAGCATATTCGAACCACCAGCAAGTCGAGCCAGCCAACCGGTTGACTGCATCCATTGTCCTAAGTGCCCAAGAACATCTGGTGGTCTCGCCGTTGCAGGGTCTCACCCTTCTACTACTTGGCCTATGCCGCGGACGTACGTGAGACACAGTCGTGATCCAAACACGTCTGTTTCTTGAACGCAACATAGAGCACGCGCCATCATGTCCGGGAACACTTTGTACGGCAGCGGGAGCCACGGTCGATGTTCGCATGGCGGTTTCCCTGGAAAGTTTAGAGGTTTGCCGTTGAAAGTTGCAAGGGTGGCTGTAATTCTGCAGCTTGCCATCGGTCCTCATCCCTCACCACCCCGCACTAGATCCATGTTCTACAAATGTCCGTGGGCTCACGTTCCGCTACAAACAAGGCGACAAGGTACAAGGAAACGTCTTTCAGTCTACGCCACTTAATATCAGTATGAGACGCCTCGAAGTTGCTGAGACCCTGTTCCACAAGTATCAGCTGAAGAGGAGTCAAGGTCCCAAGTGCCATGATGCGAGAAATCTGGAGCCACGGCCGCTACTACCGGCAAAGGGGGAGAGGACTACGACCCACGAGATGACGGACCAGCTTTTGCACTGAGTATCGCCGGTCAATGACCTATAGGAGACTATAACTACCTACCATCTCTGATGCCAAAGGGAGGCACCACTAGAGGCAGAGGTGCATGTGCAGATGCAGGCAGAAGGTTTGGCGATGAAGGTCTGGGTTCAGGGCACTTCTCCGAGACCGAGGAGGGGTAAGGATCTGTGGAGTAAACGGGCTGCTGCAGCATGTCACGCGCGCCATGCCCAGGCTAACCTCCTTCATCTTCAAAGGCTTCTTCGATTTGACTGTCTCACTGACCTCACAGTGGCATCATCCAGACTCTAGGCGTATGGCACGGGTCGGAACTTTCGATATCGAATCAGATGTAAACCCAGGTAAGCAGTATTGACGACGATGAAGGAACGCACTGCCGGCAACCGGTGGGCGGAGACAATGTCTGGTGCGTCTTTGAGATAAATGCGACCACGGATGAGGTTCCGCCTCTAGGTCGACGCACTACTAGATGCGCAGAATCACGCATTTCGATTCCATCGACCAGCTATGAGGAGAATATGAACGCATCAGACATTGAAGGGTTTCCTTTGGCCATTTGAATACCTTTCTACTCCTGAAATGCAGCTTGTCTATCAACCACACCCTGGGAAGAGTGAGACTGAGCGTCACGCTTCAGTTTTGGACGATGCGCCGAGCTTGAGACCTAGCAACCCGACCTATATCACGTATACGAAGATGACGAGATATACCCAGGTATTCTCTGCAGTTGATAGGATGATCTGGTGGTCTACAAATGCGACCATCAAAGACGGCAACGAAACGCAACGTACCGCACCGTCACTGGAGATCGACGACACCGATGGAGGGCGAAAGTCAAAATCAGCCAGGGGGCTTTACCCCGGATTATCATCTTGTCATTAAACTCAACCGTGAGCGGCTGCTGCAACGGCTCCCCAAGAAGCCAGAAGTCAAAAAGTGGCCAGAAAACCGTCTGAGCGGACGTCAAACATTCACAACCTGGGAGCACCTATCCGTACGCGGATCTTGAAGGGAATCATCTGGAAGTTTGACCTTGGAATGTTGGGTTTCTTCGAAGTTGCTGCCCACCAAGCGGCGCTACTGCAACTAAAGACGGATACTTAGGGTCTCCAAGATCGGTCCTCTCCTGGCCCACCTGGCGCGACCGCAACTGTTCCGCTCTTGCATCTGGTCTGCCTCAGATTACAGTGTAAGTCGGCATCAATACCATGGGTTGCTGTTCGCAACTAAATTCTGTACTGCGATATTGTAGCAACGTCAACAGGGGCCTGCCAATCGTTTTCTAGGGGGCACTGGTGGTACTCGGTGCGGAGGCAGAGACGGGACAGGCATGCACCCGGCAGACTGGCATGATGATGAGGAGATGCGGCACGAGATCAGCGGAAGTCAAGGAACCTAAACTTGACCGAGCAGAAAAGACGAGCCAGGAATTCGGTGGGCCGTTGACGTTGACCTCCGAGGCCTGTTTAAGGAGAGAAAGAGGGGTGGGAAACAAGACGGAGATGGCCGTTCTGATGAGGTACGGCAGACGAAAGGGCGTGAACGTTAAAACCACTCTCAGAATTGCTCAACCGTGGGGACGTCAAGACGCAAGAGAGTTGAGGGGTTTCGATGATTCGATGAGGGGTTCCTGTACGGGAACGACCACCCCCGGCCCCCCGCCCTGATCCGCTGCAGCAACCCTTGGTTGGGGCCAGAGTCCAATCAGGACGAGGGCAATAGGGAAAACCCTCCGCCAACCCTGCTGGGCCTGCGCATTTCGTTACGACGGATACTGATCTCGAACGCGGCTGGCTAGGGTTTAGCAGGCCATGGATGATCTTTACTCGCATTGTCGACGGCATTTGTCTGAATTCTGCAATCTGACTTGACGCCGCCGGTGGTAGGGTTGTGCGCAACAGGCCCTCATAGGCTCGCCCAGATCGTCATCCATCTAGACCTAGACCGGCCCCGGCTCGGAGCTTGACTTTTTTTCTTTTCTTTACGTTCGAGGCGACGCAGCCCATTCCGGGTCAGTGAGGCATCATATCCGACCGAACACGAGGCTCAGCGATAGCGGTTTGCGAGGTAGGTCTCGGACCAGGTCATTCATTATCTGTGCACACCTCGACTATGCGAGGCTGGCGTAACCCTACGTAGACGTGGACGAGGCTGCGATGAAGGAATAGCAGTGTACGCTTTTGGTAGTGGGTATTGTCTCCGTCACCGGGTTGAAGCCGGATGAAACGTTTCTCTTTAATTATACAGCAGTTCTACAGGTATCGTGCGCCTCCTCGATATCTTATTGTTTCGTCATCTGAGAAGTGTTTGGGAACCACTTCTGGACAGTCTTCCTCATATCGCATTCGAGCGTGCTACTGTTTATGCCGCGGTCGCCTCGGGTCCCTTTTGGGACTTGAGCTTCTCCTCAAACTTTGCAAATTCTTGGATGGCAATCTCCTCCTCCTGGTCGAGGATCTGCTCGACGGACTTGACCTCCTCAATCTGGATATGCCAACGTCAGCACGTATGTTCTACGGTTATTCGGGAGGCACTTTGCAGGAAATCTCCAGGAAACCTCCCAAGAACCACAGATGTTGAGTCAACTTACATAATGCATCAGCATGCTCTCAATACCATTCTTCAACGTCACGGTGCTAGAATCGCACGTCCGGCACGCACCGCGAAGCTTCAGCAGCACGGTACCCTCGTCCGTGAACCCGCGGAACTCGATATCGCCGCCGTCCTCCTGGATAGCAGGCCGTATCCTCGTCTCGAGAAGCTCCTTGATCATGCCGACAACCTCGCTGTCGTTCTCATCGTACGCCAAACTATCGGGCTCCTCGGGGGCGCCGTCGGCGGCCGCACCGGCACCGCCTTCCTTGTCTGCCGAGACGGTGACGATGGTCTGGCCCGAGGTGATAGCCTCGGTGATGAGGGCGAAGATCTCCGGGCGGATGTGTGCCCAGTTCGCGTCGGGGGATTTGTTGACGGTGATGAAGTCGGCGCCGTAGAAGACCGAGGTGACGCCGTCAATGTTCATGAGCTGGGCGGCGAGCGGGGACGGGTAGGGCGGCGCGATGGTGGAGCGCGGGTTGAGGTACTCGATGAAGGGGGTGGAGAGGGTGTCGGGGAGGATGCGGTGGTTCGGGAGGAACTTTACGGCGTCTGGGTTGGGCGTGTTCTCGGTCTGGATGAAGATTGTGCGGACGGCGCCGGTGCGGGCGGCAAAGGGGGATTGTCGCTGGAGGGATTGTTGGTGTCGACTTGTTGTTGTCGTCGGGCGGCGTTGTGATGTTTGGTTGTTTTGGAGGAAGCCGGTGTGTACGCTGGCGAAGGATCGCGATTGTGAGGGTCTGGAGGTGGCGAGCCTCGATGTGCGCGCGACGGCGCGGAGGGCCGTCCTCGTTGCTCTGTACGATGACATTGTGGCGAAAGATTTAATGTGTTTGGTGGCCGTCGGGGTCTCTCCGGTCCGATGATTCGTCGCTATCGTCGTTGTTGACTGAATATACAATGTCGAGGGCGAAGGTTTTTGGTCGTCCAAGAGTGAGGAGAAAAGTCGTAAATGTTGTGGGAAGATGTATTGTCGAAAATGTTGATTATTCAGACGTATCCGTACAAATTTACCAAACCTCACACCTCGGCATTACATCCGGTGACGGAACCTTTGAATTTTGACAGCAGGCAAATTACAGCGCGAGGAAAAAAGGTTGACAAAACTGGAAAGAGCTTTCCACTTTTTTTGCACATGCCTCTCAATTCCGAGGCGTTGCATTACCAATCATCGAGGCTCTCTGCGGGAATTGGTCAGTTTTGGGCCCTGTCCTTTCTTGGGGGTCAGGGTCAGTGAACGGTGGACGGTGGACCACTCAGTCAGTGCCAGGGGGGGGTTCGGACAGCTGGAGAAGAATGACGCAGAAAACTGCCACTCATGGAACCCCCTCGGGTTGGTCCGTGGAATTCCCGATTTTCCATGAAGTGAATGCTTTTGTGGGGAGCTCGGGGACAGCTAAGGTAAGGTGTTTTGGCGGTCAAGGGGCTGTTCACCGCCCAAGGTTTAAAGGAACCAGGGTATTATGGAGGAAAACGCCCCGCCGGAAAATCGTCAAACAGACAGACGGCAGAAAAAAGTTTCGAAAAGGAGCCCAAAGCAGAGAAGTCTCTCGCAACCCAACTGGCAGAAAAAAAAGGAAAGAAGACAGAAAGAAAAAAAAAAAGGAACGCGGGGTTATCGTTACTCAAAGCGTCCAACGACGTTATCTCGATCCTTGACCACCTTACATTACCTACCTATCTGTACCCTGAATCGCAAAGGCTTGTCCTTGCCCTTGTCTCCAGTCAGCACTTTATCCGTATTTACTCTTTTTTTTTTTTTTTCCTTTTCGGAGAGCGACAGAGCAACCATTGAACATCGACGCAACATACCCGACAACGGAGAGCAACTTCCCAGCCAGCAAACGGACACTCTCCCACGACACTCGTTCTTCGCCCAGCGACAACTTCCTCAACCCCCCCCCCCCCTTCCCTCCGCCCTCTCCAGAACCAAGAAACAGTCGACCGAACCGCCGGCTTCCCTACTCCTCCTCCTCCCAAGATGTCAATCCCAGACGACACCTCCACCAACGCCGCCCCCCCGACATCCCCCAAACGCGCCGCGCAAGACGACCTAGCAACCGAACCCGAGTCCCGACCCCCCGCCGCGAAACGGTCCCGCGCGACGAGCCCCTCGCAACAAGACGACGACGACGATGGCGAGGCCAAGACGAGGGCTACGACGGCGGCGATGGCGAACGCGTCGCTGACGGCGGGTGAAGGCGAGGGTGAGCTGGGTGACGGTGAGGGTTCAGCAGCAGCAGCAGCAGCAGCTCCCACGGCGCAAACGACACAGACACGACCCGCGGCAGGAGCAGCAGCAGACGAGACGCCAGAGACGACAACACAGCCTCCTCCCCCGTCCGCGCCAAAGACAAAGATGTGTGGTGTATGCCACGAAAAAGAGGGGAAATACAAGTGCACGCGCTGCGCATTACCATTGTACGTACTTTTTCACAAATATGCTCGAGTCTGTTCCATGGCGTTTTCTTCAAAAGTACTCATTCTTCATTATACGTGGCTTGTTTCTCGTTATATACATTATCTTTACTGACTTGCGGGCTTCCCCTTTCTCCCTCCAGCTGCTCCGTCCCGTGTAACAAAACGCACCGCGAGAACCACCCGCCTGATCCCGAACCGGCGCCGAAACCCGCCTCGGCCGCCATCGAGCCCCCCGCGCCGAGCGGCGGTGCCGCCGCCGCAAGCGACCCAAGGAACCCCTTCAGCGTCCTCGACGACTCGGACCAGCTCCGGTACCTCTTCCGACGGTACCCGACGCTGCAGGCGCGACTCCTCGAGATCTTCGCCGCCACGGAGCCGCCGCCGGAACTGCAGTCCACGGGGAGCAGCCTCAACGACATGATGAAGGCGCGGGCTTTGGCGGCCGCGAACCCGAAAAAGGAGCAGTGGACGCACGACGTCGGGATCCGCAAGGGGAAAGAGGCGCTGCGGAGGGCCAGGGCCGCCGACGGCGAGGACGGCGAGGGCGTGAGGGAGTACGTCGAGCTCATTAACCACCTCATGTCGCAGGCGAGCGCGGCGGCCGAGGCGGAAGAGGTGATTAGGAAACAGGCGGCTGAGAAGGATGCCGAGCTGATTAGACGCCTCATGACGGAGGACCGCGGGTGAGAGGGCGTTTTGTGATTTTGGACTGGGTTATGGTATGATTAGGGCGGGCGAGCCTGCGTGTATTATGCGGCGGGCCCTGTGTTGGATAAGGCGTACGTATACACACGTTCGACCGCGAGTGTGCTGCAAAACCGCGCCGTGTATGCATAGATGGTATCGATCATCAGGTAAGGGTCCTATTTACTCCCTTGAAAAAAGTTTTCTTTCGGAGCTCAGTGGTTGACTTTGAATCGCGCAAAGAATCCGCTCTTGGGCGACCTCAAGGCGGTGTCGGACGGTGGGCTGTTGTCCCGGGAGTGGTTTTCTTCCCGCCCGTGTCTGGTGAGGGCTCCGAGTTTATGCTTCAGAGCCCATATGGAATCCGCCTTGCGCAGCGACGGCTTCGTCTTCGGCTGCGGCTGCGCTTCGTCGCTTTGGGTCCAGTCCACGCGGTGCTCATAGGGGTTGTGATCCGCCGCCTCGGGATCATCAAGATGATATGGTGAAGAAGCACCAGATTCAAAGGGGAGGAGAATGTCGCCGGTTGTAGCCCGCCTGGCAGATCTGGTGTGGTCAATCTCACCGGCCCGGCCAACACCCAGCGGTCCTTCAATGGTGTGTCTGTGGTGGTTACGGTCACGGTGCGCGCGGGAGCTGCCCAGCTCAGCCATTTCCGGAATCTGTTCGTGGGTGATGGGGGCGCGGTCCTGATGCCTCTCGCGGTGGCCTTGGGCAATCCTGAGGGCCGTCCTCGACAGCTTGCGAACGAGACCCTTGCTGTCCGACGTCTCGGTCGTCGTTGTGCGCGAGAACTGCGCCGCGGCGAACTGTGGGATGAAGGGGTGCTTGTCACCGTCAGAGCCTTTGCGTTTCGAAGACGAGTCCTTTCCGCCAGACTTGGAGCTGCGGGTGTCTGCGTCGGACGTCTTGGACTTTGACCTTGCGGAGCTGCCAGAGTCCACCCTCTCCTTGGTTGGCTTTACGGTAGGCTGCGCAGGTCTGGTGGTGGTGGTGGTGGTGGACTGGCCGGGCTTGAGTGACCCTTGATCGAGATACTCCCTAGCCAAGCTTGCATGCTGTGGGTGACCGTCTTGTAGCCCGTTGAGGGCTGGAGCTGGTGCTGCCGGTTTGGACGGCGCGGTGGCCTCCGCCCTGGCTCTCCTTCTCTTCTCGGCGTGAAGCTTCTGATCGGCAAGGACCTTGACGAGTTTTTGAGACAGTTCCTCGGGGTCGAAAGGCATCGGCTGCGAGCACCGCTGTCTCGGCCGAGGAGGGGCGATTGGCTTGATGGGCTGAGCTGCCGCCGCCGTCGGCTGATCACGAGGGTAGCTCATGTTGTATAACATGTTGATCGCTGAAATGGAAACTACTCCACCGATACTCGGGATCAAGGTTCCAACTAGAGATTCGAATCTTTGAAATTCCGGAATGAATGTGAATGACAAGGCTCACTGCCGAGTTTGTTAGAAAACAAGACGTAGTCGCAAAAAGCGTTTCCGGACGGAGGGCGCTTTTTATGTATGAATGGAGATGCTCCAGTGGATAATTGAGTGAACTGAGAGAACGCGGGGGTGGGTTGATCGTCAGAGCAAGTCGGGTCGGGCAGTTAAGGTTGTTTGTTTCCTGGCAGGGGTAGTAGTCATGTAGGTAACATCCGTTGCCAAAAAAGAGGCTTGCTTTCCTTTGACGTGAACGCCCGGTTGAGAACGCCCCTGTGGGTGAGAGAGAAAAAAGATAGATGAAGAAGGATCTACAGTTGGGAAGTTGAATGACCCTTGGGTTCAACAGCGGTCTCGGGGTGTCCTGGGGTTATGTATATGTCATACGACCGGGACGTAGGAACCGGACAAGCAAGCAAGCAGCACGCGGGCTCAATCCAAGGCTCAAGCGAGCGAGATGCACCACCGTCCGTCTGGACCAAGGCAGGTGAAGTGGGTCGCAGAGCTCTTCTTCCTTTCGCGGTTCCAAGGGTCCTGTCGTCCTGTCGTCCTGTCGGCGATTGGGAACGTCCCAGGCGCTGGACCTGCGTTTTGGGGGCTATTGGTGCGTGCGTGTCGTGCGTGCCGGAGTGCGGCGGTTGGAAGGTGGTGAATAACGTCGGGCAAGGTGTCTGTGTATGTGTGTGCGTATGTGTGTGATGTGAGGCACGCAAAGGTCGATTAAACAGAGACAAGTAACAGTGACAGAAGAGACAAGAGACAGCAAAATAAAATAATAAAAAAAGGCGGAAAAGATGCAAGAGAAGATGTCGGCGGTGGTGTGCGTCGCTAGTCCCGCAGGGTCCCAGACAATATGTACCTCACGGGGACAAACTTCAGACCTGCCACCAAGCGTGCTATCTCCTCTCTGTGTCTTTCTCTGATGCCTCTCCGTATGCGCGCGTGGTGACGGCAAGACAGAGAATGGGACGGGAGCCTGGTCTGGCTGAACTCGGACGACGGAGGGTGTGGCTTTTGTGGGTGGTGTCTGGCGCAACAAGGATTCGGAGAGACAACACACTCGACTTTGCGTGGTGTTTGTGTGTGTGTGTGTGAGAAATGCGAGGGCGATCTAGCGAAAGACTGAGGAAAGAGATGAGAGACCAGAGAAGGCTGAAGAGTCAAGAAAAAGTGACTGAGAGGGAGAAGTGGTCGGTAGCGAGAAGAGACGGGCTTTGCGAAGGGGGTATGGGAAGGTGAAGAATTAAAAACCACAAGGGGGGGGTTCACGGATGTCTTGAGAGACACGAGCGTTCCATAGGTTGCATTTTTAGGCACCTCTGATGGTATTTAATGGCTTGAGGGACTGACTGGTTCTGGTCATGGTCATGGCCCGGTGTGGATGGGAATGAATGCATGGGGGTTGGATTGGAGACCATTTGCATCCATTTAGACCAAAGGCAGACAAGTACTCGGAATCTCAGGGGATACCATAATTCTTAGTCCATACCGTCAGCATGGAAAAGCATTTTCGAACGGCTTCATGCTTGGAAAGCTTTACTTTGCACTCTCCATTCTGGAGCCTTTCGGGATTGCAGTTAAAGCAGGTGGGGTTTGGGAAATACAACCGCCTCCATCACGCATCACGCATCGCGCCGCTTATTTGGCTTCAGGTACTAGGCTTCAAAAGATCCCTCGCCTTGCCTCACTGAGCTGTAAGACGGGGAATTGGACCTTTAACCAGCCCACCTCGCCTTACTATCCTCAGTAACCTTACCTGACGGAGACTTGTACCTTACCTTAAGCGGCGAGGATGGGAACTCGAGGGCCCTGGACAGTTCGTTCTCTGAGGGTTGCCCACCTTTTCTTTGCGCTTGTCGGCACGCAGCGCATGGGACAGACAAGCTATCAAACCTGCATACCACCGCCAGTCTCCTGGACCCATTCTTTCTTTCCTGTACTTCCCCTTCCCTGTCCCTTTCCTTCTCTCGGCGGCACCAATCAACCCTGCGTCTGAGGTGTTGTATCAACATGTTCAGCGTGACGACCTCCTGCTGTACGAATAGCCGACTTCTCCGTACTAGTCCGATGTGATTTCATTAGAATATCGGCCCTAGCCTGTGGGCGAGTAAGGGCGCGCATGAACTGGGGTGCCGGGAGACCACCACCACCAGCTAACCCGAACCATTCCTTATTCGACCAAGATCGTGACCTGCAAAGAAAATATACCACAAAAAATAAGGTGACAGGGGACTGAAGGGGGAAGAATAAAAATTAAGGTAGCATGGCCGTGGTGCTTGAGCCTACCTTTTGGATGAACCGGCCGGACAAACGCGGTATGGCTCGACATGTTAGACGCCTTGTTGGTCATCCGAGTTACACTGGACCAGTGATCGGATGCCGCTTTGGGACTGTCTCCGGGCGTTCGCACGCTTCACCGACACCGCACGGAGCCGGCTTCCTCCTCCTCTCTCCTCACTGCTCAAGGACCTCGACCACTTCTTCGGACGTCGGTGGCGCTGTCTGTTCTAAAACCTCGACAGCAATTCACCGTACGACCTCTGTATGAGAGCATGGTCGGAGGGTAGGACAATGGCCAACATGCCTTGTACATTGTGGCCTGAACATGCTTCTGATGTGTGTCGAAGGGTATAAGCGGGCGTTAGTCACTGTAGGGCAGCCTGTGGTGCGCTTCTTGCAAATGTCAAGACTGGAGGCTAGAAGCAAGTCTGCTGCGGCAGGGGAAGGGGTAAAGGGGGATGTGACTAGTTCCCTGACAAGCTCGATATGCACGGTGGTTCCATGTGCGCCGCACAACCGAGTTGGACGGCGTCGTTTCTGTCTTCTGATCAATGGGTTGAGGTTGCTGGTGTCGACTACGGGAGGGTGTGGAGGTGATGCCACGTTCCTTCGGGTCACCGTCCTCCCCCCCTCCCCAGTCTCCCCCAGCTTTCCAACCCCAGACGAGGGCTGTCACGCTGGGTACGGAGAGATCGACAGACAAGAAGTTCGACCGCGCCATCTGAAGCCTCAAGATATCCCAGCCATCGAGCATGGTGAGGTTAGCTTTTGGGCTCGCCTATGTCTTGGAACCATCACCAAATCACCGTCAGTAAGCAAGTAAGTCGACGGAGAAAAAGTAAGAGAAAAGAAATTATCAGAGACAAAGAAGAAGGAAGATCGGCGGCTCTCGGCAGTGAGTGATATCCAGACGGTTAGTGAATAAACGCTGCAGATGCAGACGAAACCGGAAGACTCGATCCCCCAGGGAGGTTGTTAGACCCAACTGATGACAGAGTTAATCCTATTGGGTATGATCAGCAAATGGTCCGCCAAGCGTCGTCTTATCTCTTAATACTCCTGCAACACACGCTGGATTCGGCCATGGCGCGATCTCCTGAATAGGCGCACCCAGTGGATCGAACCGCAGCATCTCACCCCTAGACTCTAGACTGTTGACTTTGAGTCTGACCAACAGCAATTGTCTCGGTTGGTGGTAACGCTGCCTGCTTGCCTTGGTAAGAAATTCTGCTTGCCATCCGAACAAACTGAACAGTACGTCAAGAGAGCTTTGTTGCTTTTCTCACTCAGTCCGCCGACTTCACCGTTCTCACCGCAATCCGTATATCGCAAGAAGGCGCGGCTCACAGCGCAGCAAGGTCTCTATGCAAAACACGCCATATAAGACTCGGTGAGGTATCGCGACAGAAAGGTACCGTAGGAATGGGGTTGTCCACTTGTGCAGCTTGCTGCACGTCTGCATGTCTTGCCCTCGTATCGCCTTCCATGTAACCCTACGCTGGGTTTTACGAAGCCATATCATGCAGCTTGGCGATGCAGCCACGCATCCATCGAGTGTGTTGCTGGCGGCACCCTGAACTGCCGCGTACGAACCCCACAAGCAGCCCTCCATTCCCTGTATCCGTACGTAGTTGTTGGAGGCACACAAGTCATTCTGCTACGCCACAGCTGCAAGTGTGTGAAATAAAGATTGCTGATCCGGAGCTGACCATTTTGACTTTGCTAACACGCCCAATTCCCTTGTGTTCTCTCTCGGAGCCGGGCCGGGCCTGATGTGTGGTTTGCGACCTAGACGTAGCCTAACCACCAACAGCGAAATGTCGAGTCCCTCAGCTCGACACGTAACTCAACCTCTTCGAATACTTATTGCCGGTCCTCACAAAAAAATGTTGAGCAAGAGTATGGCATTCCAGCTCATGATGGTTTTGGAATAGCAGCAGCCCGTATAACTAAGTGAGGCGGGTACTGTTCGCCAGACGACGCCGTCGTCAAGCCGTGGCTGGCATTTTTCAGTCTATTGAGAAGGCCAATGCCACAATCGGCCCGCTTATCGACCATGCGGTTCTCCCGCTGCAGACCTGAAAAAGCAAGAAAGAAAAGAAAAAAGGCCGGCTAGAGCCAGCGCTATTGTGTTGCACTGACTTGAATTCGAGTTGCTGGCGAGATCGTGAGAACCACAAGTGAAAGCCGCGATATTGTCATCAGCTGATGTTGGATGAGTCCAGGACTTCATGTGGTAGCTTGGGATATACACTTTGATGGAGGCACTCGTAACCATATCCGTAGCCAAAGCGCAGGAACGTGGCCCAAGACAAGGGTCCTCCAGTGGAGAGATGCCAAGAACGCGGCCACAATTTAGTCGACGACGTTATTTCCACTGCGATCCGTGTCAGCGCCGGTTGCCAATCCTTCGTGTCAGAAAGTCGAATGATAAATTGTTTCCATCGTGAAACGGAGAAGGATCAAGTAGCGCGATGTGAAGTTTGCAAAGGGGGGTTCATTGGAGCTGAAGACGTCGGTGCCACTTCTTCATTATTGCGATGCTCAGGTAGAAAAGGGCTTGGGACGAGGGATGGCCAGGCAATTTCTCAATGAACCGTGCTCAATTTTTGACAGAAGTTTATTCGAACCAGGCTCCAACAGTCCGAGTTGAGGCCGGTGCGTCGTCAAATGTCTAGGGAGGTCGGACACATTGAATGAAGATGCCGCAACCGTACTCCGTACAGAGATACACAATATTGTTTGTGTTCGCCGTGAAGTGGGCAAGATACCTGATGGAATATCCGTAGATGGAGCAACTTGCATCGCAACCCGGCCTGGTGGAATGTCGAGGCCAGATCTGCGTGCCAATGCCGACCGAAGATGACCGGCAACCATCCGGGTCCCGAGCTACTGGAACGGCTCAGAGCCCTTGCCGGGATCATATTCCTGGAGAAAACACCTTGGAATACCGCTTATTTCGAGACGAAACCTGGAGTCTTTTTTTGGTTCGCTCCAAACATGGTAAACTGTGACTGTTAGTATGTGAAGGAATCAACGATGGTGCGTTTCGGGAGCATGGCTTGATGGTGAAAGCAACCCTGCAGAAGCTCGTGGAGCTAAGCTAGGAAGCTTTATTGGCCTGCGGACCACGTGCTGATGCGAAATTGCGATGATATGGGCGCCGGAGGATCATGGCACAAGTTGAAGTGCTTCATCTTGAGACATGAATGGCGTCTGTACGCGCGCCAGCAGCATTGTTCTTGACAGAAGCTTGTTGGGCATGAGTTTGGCCCTGCAGGATTGACCCATGGCGAGCTTGTCGCGAACTGGGCATCCGTACGTCATCGGTGAGTTGGTATTGGGTTTCGGCGCAAGTGAGTTTGCTGCTGAAAAAGGTAGATTGTCCGGACAAGTGCAGCGTACCTCGTGAGGACAGTGGGAAGAAGCATAATAGTAGGTCTTGGTGTACAAAGGGATGTTCATCTGGGGTTCAAGTCCTGAGCTGGTAGAGTTTGCAGACCGCCAGTTGGTGATGTTGGTCGCAATGAGGAAGCTGGACCCGGAGCAACGAGCCGGAGTCAACCCCGGACGACATGGTTCACGAGGTTTGATTTGACTTGATTTTGGTGGGCTACTGCGTATGTAGTTCGGGCTGCTCAATGCAAGGAAAGGAATTAGTGTAGGTAATAGTAAGGTAGGTTGGCGTTAAGGAGCAGTGGTAGCTACGGATGCATAACACCTTAGGTACCTTTGGTGCATCGAAGCCGTCTAAGGTACTTAAGTTAGGTCGGCCCAGTAGGTTTCTAGCTTCGGAAGGAGAGAGGTCCACTGGAGCAGCAAGGGACGTATGAGTATCCGTTGGGTACCTACGGACTCGCACCACACCCACCGAGAAAGGTAGTAGCTGTCTCCCTGCACTTTCAAGTTCCACCTTGAATTTGGAGCCACTGAGGGTCTTGAGATATCTTGAATGGAGAGGAAGGATGAATTCAGCAACGGTGACCAATCATTCGGCAGAAGGAAAGTTCAAACGTTCCGTGGACGTCGAAGGGGTCCAGTGGTACCAACGCTTTCAAGTCTTGTCATTGGATGGATGGGCCCCGAACAAAATGGACCTTGAATCCACTCCGCATGGTGCCGGGGGCCCGAGCTTCCTTCTTTGATTTCACAGTGTTCCTTCCTCCTCATCCAGAAATGGAAGTACTTAGGTACCGACTGGTAATTACACACAGTAGAACGGAAAGAGCCCAGCTGCTCAGGGCGCAGTGGAACATCCCTTGTCCCTTTCTCCGCTTCCCTGGTTGCTCCCGTCCACTTCCACTTTCAATTCCACGTCCACATCCACGTTCAGTTCTGTCCCATGCAGCCGTTTCTGTCCTGAACCCCCCCCCCGTTGCAGGTGATAGAGTATCCATTCGCATCAGCTGCATTCCCAACCAGAGAGACGGATACGCTTATTTATCTCTGTACACCTGTTTTTGACTACTCCAACTTGCTGATAAACCAGCAGACGTGCCCGTGCCTTTGGTCTTCCATGGTCCAGTAGGGTCGGCAGCAAAATATACGGACTACCTTACCTTACGGACACCGTACACAGTAATCACTAGAACCTCAGATTTCTTGCTCCGTATTACCTACAAAGTATCCGTACCTTACGGTATTACCCCTCAACGGCTCGTCTCTCGGTCAGCGGTCCTGATCGTCGCGGCCCCTTCCCGCTCTCCCGTTAGTCTCTCAATTCGTCTCCTGACGGGACCTTGACGCTTCTTTCTCTTCCTCCACCACCACCACCACCCCTATCCATTCCCTCATCTTACTTGGTCAAGTCCGGTCCCAAACCAGCGCAGCCTAGGATTCAACCATCCACAACTCCAACTCCAACGACCAAAAGGTACGTAAGGAAGCAAACCTACCAACCCCTGGGCCCCCGGCCCCCTTCAGAAGCAACAGGAACAGCACATGCCGTGCTACAAACAAGAGGTGCCATTGTCGTTGGTGTCCTGGTTTGGTTCGATCTTGAACCCCCTAGTCAACGCTAGAGGGGACAAACGCTCCCCCCATCATCGCCCAGCCAAGTTGGCAGAATCCTAAATCCCAATTTCAATCGCAATCGCAGCAAGCTCGGCCCCCCCCTTCCTGAATTTCCCTGCTGGAGCTTGGAAGGGCCCGGAGCCCTTGGCCTGGATCCGCGACTGACCTCATTTGCTGTGTGTCTAGCATCGTCGACGAACTGGACGCTTACGCTGCTCCTCTCAATCCACGCCCGTCACTTCTCACAAGCCCGACATCTGCGCACCGGTGGAGCTCCTAGCGAGAAAAAAAATAAACCAGGCCCCTTTTTCGAACCCCTGGTCTGCCGCACCACGAAGCTCTATCCTGCTCCTCCTGTTCCTGTTCCTGTCCCATCCTATCCGTACGAAGTATCCGTACGAAGTATCCGTACTGCGTTCGCGCTATTCAGACGCACCCAGTACCTCTAACGGATACGCTTGTGTACCTGATCTGACGAGCCGCAGTCCCGTTCGTACGTACCTTAGACTGTACCTTACCTACCAGATCATACGCACACCTTGCTTGCCCAACCTGTGGTCAAGGTTTCTCACCGGCCCAGCAACCATTTCCAAGGGCCCCCGACGAGAAGCAAGGTACACACGAGGCAGACCACACTAAGAAGAACGGTCCCTGGTGGGTTTGCCATGCCTTCCTTGAGGCTCTGAAATCCCGGCTTTTAGTCAGTGCATCC